GATGAACAAGGCAGTCTAGTTTATTAAGAAAAATGACCGTTTTTCTAGCACTAAAACTGCTTGGAGAAATTTATCCTATGAAACTTTATGCAAGAGACATAGCAGCAGATAGTATCTTCGATCATGGTCTCTTAGATCATGTCTTGAAGCTGAGACATACTTCACAGGGCAGTTATTTTTATTAACCTTTCATAAAAGGCGGAGGGACTAAGGTCATCTGGGAAGACATTTCAGCAGGGAACGAAAGTAAAACAGTTTCGCAGTGTCGTGTTCTATTCAGAGACTAGGTGCAGGAGTTGCTGGTAGGGAGTGCAGAGGAAGGGCCTGCTGGCTGCTCTCCATGAGCCTGGAATAAAACTCTTGGCTGAGCTTTGAGAGGGGCTGGAGAGTACACAATTAACTCAGAATACACTGCCTTCAATAGCTGGCCCAGCCTGTGAAGGAAGTCTTACCCATTAGGATACTGAAGAATGTCTGCCCAAAACGGCAATTTGGGTTTTAGCATAATTGACATTGGACTGTTTTTGTATGAATCACTGAAAGAGCCAGGGTTTGGCAGCCAAGACAGACTTGGGTTCAGGCCCTAGCTCTGCCACTTGCTGCTGTGCTGCCCAGAGAGAGTCAATTCTCTCCTAACCTTCGTTTTCCATCTGTGAAATGGAACCAATAATACTTTCAGGATTGGTATAGAATTGTGAGTGATGTGTGTAAAACACCTGGCAAAGTGCCTGGCACATATGAATTGGCATTTTATCAGTGGCAGCTGTTACAGTAATAATCATGAAAGGACCTTGTGCAGTAGGAGGGGAAGACACACGCATCAAAATCAGGAAGTTGCGTCTCTCCCACTGCGGCAGTAGGGTTTGCATGCAATTCCTTAAGAAGTTTTGTCCCATTTGGTAAGCAGCAGGTTAAAAGAAGGAAGCCAGGACATTGCCCTGCTGTAAACATCGGCCTATTCAGACCTCATTCCTACACCTTCCAGTGTTTAGCTATAGGGCATGAGGACCAACATCAGGATCCAAAGTCTTCCTGAGTGAAATCAAGGGATGAGGTCCTACCACTGTGAATAACCCCTGATGGGTGGGGACACCTGGCCTGAGTGCCCAGAAGCGTAAGGCTGTGATAAAGAGGAGGCTGGGTGGCCGAGAGGCATGTGGGCGTTTAGAGAAATCTTGGAAGCTCTCCAGCAAAGGCTGGGAAAATTGGCCAGCGGGCCCTGTGCTCACAAGAGGGGAAGGATAGGTCAGAGGCTGACAGGTGCCAAGGGAAGGATCAATAATGTGTGTGGCAAAAAATCCCAGTGCAACCCCCTACTGGCAAATCCCTCCGGGTCTTCTCCATTCTCATCTTAAGCGAGGAGACCAGAAGCTGGGCGTCTCCCATCCCGATGCTGCTTTTACCAGTTGTGTAATCCTGAGCAGATCACTCTTTCTCCCCTGCCTCAGTTTCCTCCTCTGTGAGATGAGATTGAGGACACCTGCCGTGTGGGATTGTTACTTTAATAAAGTTGATTGTGTGAGGAGCTTTGCACTTGACAAAGAAAAACATGAATACTGCGTTTATTGGAAAAGTCACCGATTTGAAAGGCGAAGCTGATTCTCAACCTTCTTGAGTCAGGGGGACTGAAGTTGGTACTGCCCAGGAATATTCTATGGGATTGGATTAACTTCAGGCAGTTGGCCACCTATTCTTGTTCCCTTTGCCTTCCCTTAGTTCTCACTTGTTTCATTTTCTGCACCATCTGAGGTTGCTGGTTAAGCAGTTTCAAAGGAGCGTTTCAAGTTCTCCTTCCCGTTTTCTTTTTCTGCAGCAGCCTGGGTCCCGAATGACAGCAGAAACGTGCTGCCCCCTGGTGGCCACCATCGAGCATAGCGCGTCAGGAGGGACGCAGGAGTAATTCTTGCAGAAGCTTGAAGCTGAAGCTACCCTGCTAAGACTCCGGCAGTTGAAACGCTTCCTCACCCTCTGAGTGCCTTGAGTTCAGTTAGCTGAACTCTTCTCTTTCCCCTGGGGTCTGGAGACCTCCTGACACACTCGGTGTGGATGGAGGCCTGGTGGGTGAGGCTGAGCGCCCAGAGCAGTTCCCCTTCGTTGGGCAGGATTTCCTGTTGCTCAGAGTGAAGGAACCTTGACCTCCCTTTCCAGGCCTCGCCCTCCCTCCCACCAACACTGGCACGGAGTGAAGCTCCGTGTGCTCAGACTGCAGGCTGTGAGTCTTGGGCTCCTTGGATTGGTTTCAGTGGCTGGGCCCTGGTTAGGAGGCCCCTGTAGACGGCGGCCCCAGATCAGCCCCCTGCGCAGCGCGGGAAAGCCCAGCCTCTTCCCTGGGGCTTGATGGAGAGGCAGAGCCGGGAGCGTGGAGGGGACTACGGGAGCGCCACCTTCAGGGCTGACTCTGAGCACTTGTTTTTTCTAAGCCCCTGCTGTCAGCTAGCAAACATGAAGCTCTGTAAAATTATAAGTCTTTGGGGAAGTGGTGATGGGGTTAAGAGGAAGTGAGCAGGCTGATTTTGTGCAACTCTGCAGGCGGCCGTGGGGTGGGAGAGAGCCCTGGGTAGAAGCCGCCACCTTTCGCCTGCCTGGCATCCTGTCTCAGCTGCTCGTCGACCAGTTCTAGGGCTCCAGAGGTCTTTTTCCTGGGCTCCTGCTAACACTGCGTCTTGCTGTTTTTGTAGGCCGGCAGCTGGGGTTTTCTAGGCTTTTCGGAGAAGCTGCAAAGGATCAGACGAATCATCTCTCCTGCCAGCCTCTCAGATGGTTAAGCAGAATCGCAAGGACAAGGTTGCACTCTTGTAGTTGAGCCCCGTTGCATCAGCCCCAAGTAGGCCCCAGGCCAGGGTTTGGGACAGATGAGGCCTTTCCCGTTCCCTTCCAGTCACTCTTCCCGTGATTTAAGCCAGTGGTTTCTCCCAGACCTTTGCTTCCCTAATGGAGTTCAGGTTCTTTTAGTAGAATTTTAAAATTTATTTTTAATTAAAAAAAAATAGAGATGGGGTGTCTCACTATGTTGGCCAGGCTGGTCTTGAACTCCTGACCTCAAGCAATCCTCTCACCTCAGCCTCCTGAAATGCTAGGGTTACAGGCTGAGCCACCACACAACCAGCCTCTTCTAGTAGAATTGAAAAAGCCATGGCCTTTCTTTTAGGTGGAAAATTCTCCTGAACCACAGCTAATTTATATATTTTTTTATTAAAAGAAAAAATTGGCACCTTGATCTAATGAAGATGGTTTCCTTTCTGGCCCAGAGCACCCCAGACTTACCAGCAGCCTGCTCATGCAATCATCTGTTTGGTCCTGCCATCTCTTCCCAGCTCAGAGCAGCTGTCAAATCTACATTATACTTGTGCTTTGTGCCCATAGTCTTGGTGCCTACTTTCTTTTTTAGATCTGAGACTACTTTTAATCGCTACTGATTTTGATAGCATGGTAACATCAAACTCGGGGACTCCTTGTACTTTTGAAAGCTTTGTGTAGTTCGTTTGCTCATTTACTTACTGAGAGCTGGCGTTCGGAATCTGGGCTCTGAAGCAGAAGCCTGGGTTTGAATGCTGGCTTTGCCACTGCCTAGCTTACAACTTTGGGCAGTTATTTAACCCTGCTGAGCCTCAACTTGCTCAGCATAGCGATAGTATCTATTTCATTAGTGAGCATTGAATGAGTCTGTGAATAAGCTGCTTAACACCTAGTAGTTGGTATGATGGAGAGTACTTTAGAGTCCTTGCTGATTTATTGTTTCCTTATATACCCAATGCCAAGTTTATGCCACCTGATTCACTGAAGTGCCTTCCTATTCATTCATGGAAAATGTACTGAGCACCTACGATCTGCCAGGCATCATAGCAGGGGCTAGAAACGCAGAAATGGAAAGTGGTGGTCCCTGTCCCCCAGGAACTTACAGGCGAAGTGAGGAGGTCATATACACACAGCACAGGGGCGTCTCAGGGGAGAGGCGAAGTCTGGGAAGTTGTCTTCAAGGTCCTGTTGGGGAACAGTCTTGAAGGAGAAGTATTTGTTTTCTAGGTGGACTTGGGGGAGAAGGGTCCTGCAAACCAGGCAGAGTGTGGGCACAGGGGAGAGGAAGTGAAAGAGGATGACTCTGAGCCTCGAGTTGCTCAGCATATTGGCGCCTGATGGTGTCTGTGGGGACCCAGGTGACAGGAGACTGCAGAGGCTGGGAGACCCGCCACGAAGGGCGTAAGCCACTCCAAGGAGTCTGGACTTGATCCTGAGGCAATACGGAGACTAAATGGTTTAGAAGGGGCAGGGAATATCCTGAGTATTGAGCTCTGGTGTGGTTGCTGTGGCTGCCTGAGGTGTGGGGTAGGAAGCTGCAGCGTCTCCTACTTGAGATGTGATGAAGCACATGACCAAGAGTGGCCATGCGCCATGGGCTGTGGGTACAGTGGGGGAGAACGGGCAAATGAGGTGACCTGCTGCCCCAGACTCTCTGTCCTCTTTCCCAGATTGCCTTCTGGTTTTCAGTCCAGGGCTGGGCCGAGCTCTAGGCCAGAATGTTAATTGACTGTGAAAGTCAATTAACTGTTCCCCTCTGTTCTCAAATCACCCCCCACCCACCGCAGCAGTGATGGACCTTGTCTATTCAGAGAACATGAAGGAAGGGCTTCCCTTGTTCACAGAAAAGAAATTCCCATGGTGCATGCAGAGAATTCTGAGGGTAGAATTCCCAGGTGGGCAGAGGTGGCTAGGTTGGTGACCCTAAGTAGGTCTCCTGCCTTTCTTCTCTCTAGTGGGTCATTCTTTCATGTGTTAGCTTGCCTGCAGCATGCTGTGTTTAGACACAAGCCTCTTTCCTTGGTTTCTCTGACCCAGCTGAGATGGACTGATTCCAAAGGAACTTACTATGTACTGGAGTAGGGGAGGGAGGGCTATCTGCAGTGTTTAACTGGGATTCAAAGAGTGCTATACAGTGAGAAAGGCTGTTTTGTTTTTCTCTTGGTAGCATGCAGCCTCCTAGAAATTTCTCTCGGCAACTTTCTTCTCTGAAGCACAGGTAAAGAAAGCAGTTACAGTAAAAACATTTATGAGAAGCCACCTTGGAGGCTGATGAAGTTTTTCAGGTTCCAGCAGTGCAAGGGATGTGGGCAGAACTGACACTGGAAAATACTAGAATGATGGAAATTCATTTGGAAAGAACTGCCCTTTTTAATGTCTGGGGAGTTTGCTCAGGGAGAAATGACAAGTCTGGCAGGGATGAACATGGGATTTGGTAAGACTTGGATCAACTTGGGATACAGCAGTGAGGGGAGGGGGCAGAATCAATGAATGATGCCAAAGCAGAGCACCCAAAAGGAGGACGCTGACCGGCCCCAGGCAGAGGCCTCTCCCTTATGCCCGTCTCCAAAGTGCTTGTTAGTGAACACCATTGTTGTTACTGCTGAATTTTATTTTGGGCTGTACATATTTAGATGCTTAAGGTAAAGATGATAAAGCTCTCAAGCTCCTGTGTGGCCTCAGTCCAAGAGTTCCTTCCCGCTGCCTCTCTAACATGCCTGGTTAAAACAATCCCTTTGTGTGGTGTTGAGACGCACCTGAACCAGACAGGATCCCCAAATAACAATTGCTTTCAAGTGTCTGGTTCCCAGAAGTTGACGACTAGGTGAGGCATTTTCAGGGAGAGGGGGCTGATTTCCAGACAGTTGCCTGTTCCTGTGGGGTGGGGCTGAGGCTTGGGGAGTGTGGGCAGGAGGGTATGCCATGTGATTCTGATGCACACCTTCCTTTTCCTTCTTTCTGTATGTCTGGTCATTCTGTTATCCTGTCATTCCTCACATAGGCTGGACACTGGCCGGCTGCCAGTGTAAGGGCCAGCGTGATTTTGCTGGGATGTGGGCAGCAGAGAATCTTTGCTTATCCCTTTGACCAAGCATCTCTGCTGCAAAGGCTGGGTATTTGCTGTGCTCAGCGAGGCATCAACTCATGCAAACACTTAGCAGGAATAGTTCTGGCTAAGGTTAGGAGTCTGCCACCAAAGTCTCTTTTTTGTTCCTCTTCTTCCGTTTGCCTTTTTATCATGAGATCTTTTTGCAGCTGGCAGAAAGATTGCATAGTCAGTGCTTCCAGCTCCCCCAATCCTGCACTGTCATCTGGTCCTTGAATAAATGAATTCTGATACCCGATCTTGTCTTGAGCCTTCTCCATGCTACTCCTGACTCCTCCTCTGCTCTTTCCATCTTTTTGCTGAGAGTTCCTGGCTCTGTACTTCCTCTTGGCCCATCTCACTTCCTGAAACACCCTGAAGAGGGTTGCTTATCTCGATGGAACTAAAAAAGCTGAAGAGGCCTTGACGGACTCTGTTTGGGGAACTAGGAGCAGCAGCGCTTTCAGATTCAGTCCATGTAGAACTGTCCTCCAAGGTTCTGGGAACTCGAGGACGTGTGGCACCCCAAGAGGCTGGAAGTGATCCACCTGTGATGAGCCCTTTCTAAGGAGAGGGGTCACCAAGAGATCACCCCACCAGAAAAGAGTAGGAATGAGTGAGTTGTGAATTTTAGACTGTCACTGCACATGGACCTCTGGGAAGACGTCTGGCGAGAGCTACACCCATTGGCCCTACGGACGGATCTTGCTGGCTCACCTGACCCCGTGGAGGTTCCCCTGGGACGGCAAGATGTCCATCAACAGCACTGCTGTGTCATTGGGCAACATTACCTACATCACCATGGAAATTTTTATTGGACTCTGTGCCATAGTGGGCAATGTGCTGGTCATCTGGGTGGTCAAGCTGAACCCCAGCCTGCAGACCACCACCTTCTATTTCATTGGCTCCCTAGCCCTGGCTGACATTGCTGTTGGGATGCTGGTCATGCCTTTGGCCATTGTCATCAGCCTGGGCATCACGATCCACTTCTACAGCTGCCTTTTTATGACCTGCTTGCTGCTGATCTTTACCCACGCCTCCATCATGTCCTTGCTGGCCATCGCCGTGGACCGATACTTGCGGGTCAAGCTTAACGTCAGGTAGCCTGCGGGGTGGGGTGGGCAGCGATTGAGGCACATGGGAAATGAGGCTACAAAGCCCAGAGCCCAGACTTTTTGAATGAAAATGAATCCAGGTTGGCCCTTGATGCTGAAAGAGGGCAATAAGTGTCTTTTTCTGATATGGTCTGCGAGGGGTTAGCAACAATGAGTTGGAATTCAGGAGCTAGAATCAGAGGAATGCTCCGATCTTGTTTCCACTGACTAGGGGTGGGTGCTCAGTCCCCCCAGCTATAACCACTAATCACTGGCTAAAAATGATGAAATCTTGATGCATTTTTAATTCGTAAAAAGTGCTCTTGAATTTTAGAAATGATAAAAACCTGCTAGATAAGACGTACTATTTTAGGAGAAGCAGGCAGATAAGAATAAGAGGAGATAAACTGATGGTTTTGTTGTTTTGCAAATGTAGGTTGTTATTTTATCTTTGCTTCCTGTTCTATACCCACTTCAGTTTGGTGTGTGTGTGTGTGTATATATATATATATATATATATATATATATATATATTCCCCCCCACCCCGAGGTGTGAGAGCTTTTTTCCCCCCAAAAATGTTCTTCATTACATGTGACCATATGAAGAGAAGGGACTGCCAAATGGAGAAATCTCCTTCCCCGGGTGACCTAAATTGCATTGGTCTCGTGTTTCTTCTCACTTCTCTTGAGGAAGGAGCACAGTGAGGGAGCTACAAAGAAGCTTTAGATGTAGACAGGTCTAGGTTCAAGTCTCAGATGTGAGATCTGATCTTGGACAAGTTGTTTGACTTTCTGTCCTTTGGTTTCCACTCTGTGTCACGGTGGCTACGATGCTTGGAACTCAGACTTACCTTGTTTAATTTTAGCCCCACCACTTCTAACTTGTGTAAATTACTTCTTTATGTTTCACTTTTTAATCTATAAAATGGGGATTAATTGGACTTTCCTCATAAGATGAAATGAGTTAACATATGTCCAGTACCAGTCACACAATCTGTGCTCAATAAATGGTAGGTATCGTTACTATGATTTTCACAGTTGCATCAATAAAATTGAGATTGTGTCCAGGCGTGGTGGCTCACGCCTGTAATCCAAGCACTTTGGAGGCCAAGGCGGGCGGATCACCTGAGGTCAGGAGTTCAAGACCAGCCTGACCAACATGGTGAAACCCCATCTTAAAAATAAATAAAATAAAATAAAAATAAAAAATAAAATACAATAAATAAAATAAAATTGTGGTTATAATAAAATAGCTCCCATTTTTGTTGTGAGATTTAATTGAGTTAAAATCTGCTGATACTTAACTATATTTGTTTCCTTTTTATGGCCTGTGTAGGCTGTTGTCAGGAAGGACAGCTTAAGGAGAAATGGGGACTCTTACTGGATGAGTCTTTTAAGGTCTCTGAAACACTTCAACACAATTTTGTAACTTCATTGAGTCATTTAACTCAAATACCAAGCATGGATGCCCATGAAGGTAGAGAAGTAGGAGCAGGCTGCAAAGCTCTCAGGAAGTGGAGCCCCGAGTGGGGCACATAAGCACTTGACTCTAGGCAACATCTTCCTAATCTATTCAAGAGTGTCCTTCTTTAGACAAGTCCTCAAAGGAGTTTGCTGGATCTCTCTCCAATTATTGTTTGCTCATTTTGACTTCATATCCAGTGGAGCTTAGCTGGAATCACCGTAGAACATCAATACTATCCTCTCTTAACAGAAGATTGGAGAATTAAGAGAGCGTATGCCTTACTTCACCTTCTCTCTCTCCTTTACCAGCTCCATCTCCCCCTACCCTTTAGCAGTTTCTGCTGTGGACTCACTGACTCTCTTCATTCACACAGATACAGGAGGGTTACCACTCACAGAAGAATATGGCTGGGCCTGGGCCTTTGCTGGCTGGTGTCATTTCTGGTGGGATTGACCCCCATGTTTGGCTGGAACATGAAGCTGACCTCAGAGTACTACAGAAATGTCACCTTCCTTTCATGCCGGTTCCCTTCCGTCATGAGCATGGACTACATGGTATACTTCAGCTTCTTCACCTGGATTTTCATTCCCCTGGTCATTATGTGTGCAATCTACGTTGACATCTTTTACATCATCCGGAACAAACTCAGACAGAACTTCGCTAACTCCAAAGAGACAGGTGCATTTTATGGACGGGAGTTCAAGACGGCGAAGTCCCTGTTTCTGGTGCTTTTCTTGTTTGCTTTGTCATGGCTGCCTTTGTCCATCATCAACTGCATCACCTACTTTCATGGTGAGGTACCACAGCTTGTGCTGTACTTGGGCATCCTGCTGTCCCATGCCAACTCCATGATGAACCCTATCGTCTATGCCTATAAAATAAAGAAGTTCAAGGAAACCTATCTTTTGATCCTCAAAGCCTGTGTGGTCTGCCATCCCTCTGATTCTTTGGACACAAGCATTGAGAAGAATTCTGAGTAGTTATCCATGAGAGATGACCCTCTGTCTCATTGACCTTCAGATTCACCATCAACAAATATTCAAGGGTCTGTCTGCCTGGGCCAAGGGATTTTTACATCCTTGACTACTTCCACTGAGGTGGGAGCATCTCCAGGGCTCCCCATTTATACCTCCCCGACTCCACTGCTCTCCATGTTTATTTCCACTCCATTTTTAACTTGTCCTTCTTCTCTAATTCAATGTTTTGGAGGCCTGACTTGGGGACAATGTATTATTGATACTACTGTCTGTTTTCCTCCTTCCCAAATAGAAGAATAAGTCATGAAGCCTAAAGGATGCCTCGTTGACTTACTGACAAAAGGTTCTAGGTGGGCTGAACATGTGTGTGGTGGTGATTCAGTTCCATGCCATTGCGGAATTGAGCAGAGAACCTGTTCTCAGAGGGTGCCTAGGAGATGCTGGGAACAAAAGGAATAAACTGAGTTTAAGGAGGGCTTAAACTGCCGAATTCACCTGTGGATGTTTTGAGTAAATAAAGGACAATAGCTAACTGTCGTGTAGCTCTTTGCTGGGGTCACTTGGGGCTTAGAAACCCAGCTGGCTGCCTGTGGCACTCAGCCTGCTTGCTACTTGGAGCCGTGTGGTGACATAGGCACCTTCTTACTCTTTGCCCCAGAACACCCTGCTCCTTAATCTCGGGTTTGTCAGACCATTTGCTAATTTTATGAACCATTCATTCATCTATTGTGAGAGAAAGGAATCCTGTTCATTTCTCCTGGTGTTTCATTCTCGTAGGAGTAGTGGGGGAAGGGCAAAAAGAGACAATCGATAGCTATTATTTGTTGAGCACTTTTCTTTCCTTTTTTTTTTTGGAGATGGGGTTTCACCATGTTGGCCAGGATGGTCTTGATCTCTTGACCTTGTGATCCACCCACCTCAGCCTCCCAAAGTGCTGGGATTACAGCTGTGAGCCACCGCGCCTGGCCTCTTTTTCTTTCTTTCATTTTTTTTTTTTGAGACAGGGTCTTACTCTGTCACCCAGGCTAGCGCGTAGTAGCTTGATCACAGATCACTGCAGCCTCAACGTCCCTGGCTTGAGGGATCCTCCCACCTCAGCCTCCCAAGTGACTGGGGCCAGGTGCATGCCATCAAGCCCAGCTATTTTTTAAAATTAGTTTTTATAAAGACAGGGTCTCTTTATATTGCTCAGGCTGGTCTTGAACTCCTGGGCTCAAGTGATCCTCCTGCCTTGGCCTCCCAAAGTGTTGGGATTACAAGTGTGAACCACTGTGCCTGGCCTGTTGAGCACTTTCTATGCGCTAAGTTCTTTGGATGCATTATTTCCTTTGATCCTGACAATCTGTGAGGTAGGTTCCACCATAATGATCATCTCCATTTTGCAGAAGAAAAAACTGAGGCACAGAGAAGTGAAGTAACTTGTCCATCGTTTCCTAAGTAACAAATAATAGAACCAGAAATCAAGCTTAACCCTGCCTTACAGGGCAACTCAAGTTTCTTGCCACCTATTCTCAGACATAAAGAGGAACTTGTAACTTTAAAGCCCAAACTTTCAAGATCATCTTATGTACAATTAACAGACAGACAGGTACGAACTACACCTTTGTACACTTGGGGACTTCCGGTGTTTTGCCTTAGCTGCTATTGCTGATCTCTAATTAATCAGGATACCAGACAGGATAGAGTGCCAGTCACATCTTCTGAGCATTGACTGTGGCTTTAGAGATTCAAGGTGGCATCTCTCGTTTGGTCTATCCAAATTTGCTGCTGTGAACTCTTACTCCCAAGACAATATTTAGCTTGACAAGAGCAAAAAGAAGGATATTTCAATTAAACAATATCAAAGAGAATAAGTGTATCTGAAAATGAAATTAATTCTTAGCCAGCCCTGAAGGTTTATCCTAAACCTAATTTTAGGCCAGAGCCTGATAACTAAATTTATCTTGTTAACATTTCATTTCAGTAAAGGAACCTTGCTTCTCTTCCAGTCAGCCAAGGAATCCAGAATTCTAGGCGTTTCCCCTCTAATTTGTGGTGGTTAAAAGACACCTCCAGGATGAGGCCCTGGGTTTATTCTATGGCTTCAGGTGTCTCAGACACACTATTCACCTTGGGACAACTCTTGCCCCATTTGGAGAAATGAGAGGAAGGGTCCTGCAGCCCTAGTCTCCTGGTGATCTTCACACAATGCTTCTTAATTTACAAACAGTTTCTAATGTAGTTGCCATAGAAACACTTAACACTACCCTGTCTTTCAAAACATGATTTAAATGGACCACTTCCCTCAAGACAAAACAGCATTCTGTCCGGAGCCGATTGGTATCCTTAGCTCCTGAGTTTCAGAACCTCTTTTACTTTTTTCTTTTCTTCCCTCCTCCTCCTCCTCCTCTTCCTCCTCCTCCTCTTCCTCCTTTGCCTCCTTCTCCTCCTCCTCCTCTTCCTTCTCCTCCTCCTATTCCTCCTCCTCCTCCTCCTCTTCCTCCTCCTCTTTCTCCTCTTCCTCCTCCTCTTTCTCCTCTTCCTCCTTCTCTTTCTCCTCTTCCTCCTCCTCCTCCTACTCTTCCTCCTCCTCCTCCTACTCTTCCTCCTCCTCTTCTTCTTCCTCCTCCTCCTCTTCCTCCTCCTCTTCCTCCTCCTCCTCTTCCTCCCCCTCTTCCTTCTCTTCCTCCTCTTCCTCCTCCTCTTCCTCCTCCTCCTCTTCCTCTTCCTCCTCCTCCTCCTCCTCGTCTTCCTCTTCTGTCTCTCTTTCTCCTTTTACTGATTGTCACAGCTTAGCAAGTCCACTGATAGCTTGCTGGGAGTTGTTGTGTTTTTTATTTTTGTCTAATGGGAGTCTCCTGAGTTAAGGTGTTCCATAAGCCCAGGAGTCCTTATAGTGAAAGTAAATGTCTTTCAAAGTAAACTCAAAGAAGATGAACCAAGAATCACTGGTGGGGAGCTTGATTAGAAGTGATAAGATTCACCCTGGCTTCCGGTTTAGAGAGTAGCGTCATGGGATTAGTGTCACAGGCCCCTCTTCTGGCTAGCTGTCTTTCAGCTAAACAGTAAAAGAACTGTAGGCTTTTATTCTAAAGGAATAAGATCACAAAGGCCACCCAGACAAAACTGAGGTTTGCTTCCTCCTTCTCCCTATGAATAAGCTGGAACAAGGGTGGATGTTGAGTAACTGGGTTTATTTGCCTTTAAAAAAAAAATCAAGTCAACTGGGGAAAAAAGTAGAGGCCAATCTAATGAGAAGAAGCAAAAGCTATTTACTCTGAGGTTCTATATCAAGGGAGTCAGCTGTAGCCACTTGCATTTTGGCAGAGACTCAAAGGTAGGCAGAAGAGTGGGAAACATGCATAGTAACATAAAGATACAAACTTAGGCACATTAAAATTTTAATGAGTTTATTTCAGCATTCAATGATTCATGAATTGGGCAGCACCAGACTACAAGTGGTTCAGTGCTCCACCAAAGGAGGTGAGAGAGGAAACTTTTATGAGGTATTTGTGGAAGTAAGACAAAGAAAATATATTGTATTGGTTAAAGTGGAAGGTCCCTAGTTTGAAATTAGTTTGGTGGTTTCTGATTGGCTTAGCTTAAGTTTTGTTTTACTGTTTGCACTGAGTTGGGTTTCAGTTTGTGTTATTTAGGAATCCAAGGCACCACAGCCGTCTTCGACTAATGGCTGTCCAATTAATTTTTTTCAACAGTGAGAAAAGGGAAAGGATTTAGGTGTGCCTTGATTAGAGGCTGTTGGGATGGGGAAGCTGTAGGCAGGCTAACTAGAAGTGAGCCATCCTGTGTGATTAATTGGGGACACATATTTGGCTCTCTTGGTTGGTCCTAAGTTGAAACTGGGAACAAAAATTAGGGGAGTTTTTAGGAACATGGATGGAGCTGGAGGCCATTATCTTTAGCAAACTAATGTGGTAACAGAAAACCAAATATTGCATGTCCTTCCTTATAATTCCCCTAATTTTTGTCTTCAGTTTCAATTTAGGACCAAGTAAGAAATCCAAATATGTTATTAATCAAGTCCTGGCTATTTTTTAATGCCGCTTTAAAAATTTAAAAAATATTTTTAGGTTTTAAACTTCCATTTTAGGTTCAGGGATACCTGTGCAGGTTTGTTATATAGGTAAACTCATGTCACGAGGGTTTATTGTAAAGATTATATCACCACATGGGTACTAAGCCTAGTACCCAACAGTTATTTTTTTCTGCTCCTCTCCCTTCTCCCACCTTCCACCCTCAAGTAAGCCTTTGTGTCTGTTGTTTCCCTCTTTGCCTCCATGTTTTATCATTATTTAGCTACTGCTTATAAGGGAGGACATGCAATATTTGGTTTTCTGTTACTGCATTAGTTTGCTAAAAACAATGGCTTCCAACTCCATCCACGTTCTAGCAAAGGACATGATCTTGTTCTTTTTCATGGTTGCATAGTTGTCCATGGTATATATGTGCCACATTTTTTAAAAATCCAAACTGCTATTGATGGGCATTTAGGTTGATTCCATGTCTTTGCTGTTGTGAATAGTGCTGCAATGAACATACACATGTATGTGTCTTTATGATAGAAAAATTTATATTTCTTTGGGTATATACCCAGTAATGGAATTGCTAGGTTGAATGATAGTTCTGTTTTTAGCTCTTTAAGGAATTGCTACACTGCTTTCCACAAATTGAACTAATTTCACGTAGTAATTGGTTCAATTCGTACACTAGTTGAACAATTTACACTCCCACCAACAGTGTTTAAGTGTTCTTTCTCTGTAACCTCACCAGAGCCTGTTATTTGTTGACATTTTAATAATAGCCATTCTGAGTGGTGTGAGATGGTATCTCATTTTGATTTTGATTTGCATTTCTCTAATGATCAGTGATATTAAGCTTTTTTTCACATGCTTGTTGGCTGCATGTACGTCTTCATTTGAAAAGCGTTCATGTCCTTTGTCCACTTTTTAATGGGACTGTTTTTTTTCCTTGTAAATTTGTTTAAGTTCCTTATAGATGCTGGATATTAGATCTTTGTCAGATGCATAATTCACAAATATTTTTCCAATTCTGTAAGCTCTCTGTTTACTCTGTTGGCAATTTCTTGTGCTGTGCAGAGAAGCTCTGAAGTTTACTTAGATCCCATTTGTCAGTTTTTACTTTGGTTGTGGTTGCTTTTGGCCTTTTCATCATGAAACCTTTGCCAGTTCCTATGTCCAGAATGGTATTGGCTAGTTTGCCTTCCAGGGTTCTTATAGTTTTAGATTTTACATTTAAATTTTTAATCCATTTGAGTTGATTTTTGCATATGGTGTCAGGAAGGGGTCCAGTTTCAATATTCTGCATATGGCTAGCCAGTTATCCCAGCACCATTCATTGAATAGGGAGTCTTTTCCCCACTGCTCGTTTTGCCAGTTTTGTCAAGGATCAGATGGTTGTAGGTGTGTAGCTTTATTTTTGGGTTCTCCGTTCTATTCCAGTGTCTGTTTTTTACCAGTACCATGCTGTTTTGCTTACTGTAGTCCTGTAGTATTGTTTGAAATTGAGTAATGT